TGATACATAATAATTGTACATATTTATGGGGTCTGTATGATATTTTGACACATGCATACAATGTATAATGATCAAATCAGAGTATTTAGGATATCTATCCCCTCAAACATTTGTCATTTATTGTTGTTCAAAACATTCCAAATTTTTTCTTCTAGTTATTTTGAAATATACCATAAATTGTTGTTAATTATAGTCACCCTACTGTGCTATCAAGCACTAGAATTTAGCCCTGCTCTCTAAGTGTAGGTTCGTACCCATTAACCAACCTCTCTTCACTACCTTCCCCTTCCCCAGCCTCTGGTAACCATAATTCTACTCTATAAACACTTCATGGAGACATACTTCCTGAGTACCTACTTTAATAAATTTGGTGATGACAAAAATGGGTTCATATACCAGCTTTAGGAAAGTTATTTTACCTATATTATTAAGATCCTTACAATAATTTTAAAAAGAAGGTATCATTATCCCTTTTACAGAGGGGGAAACTGAGGCTCTTGGTGATGCAGAGAATAGCCCAAGGCCATGCAAATAGACAACATAGAGTTGGAACCACAGGCATCCACGGGCATAGTACCATAGGAGTTAACACAGGGCAGACAAATTACTGCAAATAATCTCTACAAGACACTTGGCAAGAAATATAGGAACTTACCTAAATCATAAACTGTTACCAATAAAAGGGTTAAAATTATATGAGCTAAATCAAGAAGTGGTACATGATTAAGGCCCTTAATTAAAATCTTAATGAATATTTGTTATGGGTGTGAAGAGAAAGAAAAAATACTATGGGAATAGGGTCCCCAAGCGCAGACTCAGGAAGGACGTGGAACTTCAGAAGTCCTGGAAAGATGGATAGGACCTATAATGGTGATAAGAATGGGAAAGGGAATGAGGGGACAGGGACACATCAAACAAAGGCACACTCATTGAGTGAGTGCAGGGCTACCATAGCTAGTGCTGAGTAAATAGAGAAATGAGCCTGGGTAAGCATGTAAGATAAGCTTATGAAGCTTCTACGAAATAAATTGAGAAGATAGCTGCAGTAGATTGAAGCTATAAATTTCTCCATTCTGATGACAGCCGTAGAAAGAGAAGGAAACATGTTCAATTGCTATTG